CCTTTCAAAGTATAATACGTTAATGACTAGAAGCCCAGTGCAGGAAATTCATGCACAGAGAGGGGGTTTTCCTCAGCCCAGCCTGCACCCACTCCAATTTAGCACCCCTCGGGGGATGTCCGACCACCAGTGGGACTGGACTTAAACTGGTAATGGGACATCTCTCTAACAATGTGGGACCACACCTGTCTGCCTGCCTGATTGCCCCTAACCCCTCTGCCTGACTGCCTGATCACTCCTAATTGCCCTCCCCTGTTATCCTGATCTCACCCCCAACTCCTCTCCCCTACCAGCCTGGTTGCCCCCAACTGCCCTCCCCTAGGAGCCTGGTTTCACTCCCAATGACCCTACCCTATCAGCCTGATCTCACCCCTAACTGTTCTCCCATATAAATGGCCTATTCTTGGAAAGGATACAGAATTGGTGACATGAATTTATGGAAAAAATTTAAAATATGGATGCACATTCATTTTGTCTCAAATTTTTGTTTTTGTTTTTCTGTGATTTTTTTTTGTTTGTTTTGTAATTTTTCTGTCAGTTTTATTTTTCTGAGATTTTGTTTGTTTGTTTGTTTTTTGGCGGGGGGGAGGAAAGCAATCTAAAACTAGTTTGTGGTAGAAATAAGATGAGGTTTAAAATGAGAGCTGCTATAACTTTAGCATTTTCCAGAAGCTGATGGCCACAGTAGTGTCTGATGGGGATGCAAAACACTGGGGTGATTGCAGCAGACTGTGAATGTCAAAGAAGAAACAATAGCCTATGAAAGCAGTGATCACATATCACCGTTTGTAATTTATACCTTGAATGAACTAGTGTGAATTAACATTTTGATAGTCATGTTTAATAGTATATACTTTATAAAGACATTTTAGTTCTAAGAGAATAAGTTTATATTGTTTCAATAGTGAAAAGCCTAGCTGGTATCTACTAAAATCCAGATTTGTGGTTGTGAAAGAGGAAAAATGAGTACCAGTATACAGAGAATTCATTATGTGATCACTGTGCCTTTAATAACACTGGGGGAATTTGAAAGCAATCTCTTTCAAAAGAACCAATGAAGGAGCATCCTTTAGGAAGAGAAGATCAGCTTTATTTAAAACAAAGCAGAACAATGAAGCATTTTTAGGCTGGCCACACCACTCCGCCTTTTCATAGTTTGGTTTGCTCTCTTACAAACTAACTCCCTGGCATTCACATTAGGATTAAAACTGACAAGGCAACCCTTTCATCCCTCGCTGCCAAAACTCCTCACTACTAATAATTAGCCATTCCTGGCTTCTGGCCAAGGGAGTTCAATAAATACTTGAATGGCTTCTGGGCCTCAGCTGCATTTGTAGCTTTAGATAAAGAATCATGGGAGTTTGGGAACACCACACTATTCTGAATAGTATCCATGCAGCAGCAAGATGACTATTCAGTCTATTAATGAATTACCATTATTTTAACGTATATTTTATATTTGCCTATATATAGAAATGCTCAAATTGATCATATTTAGCTCTATAAAGTTTATTTCCTGCCTTAGGAAATGTGTTAGGATATAGCATTGTAGTATTTGATAATCACTCTAAAGACCATTACTTTTATAAATTTCATATTGGTGTGCTTTACCAGGAAATGTACATGGCTTTGATTTCTAGGAAAATGTTTCATAATATTCAGTGTCTGCAGAATAAAGCTCTGTGGGTGATTTTTAAGAAATAATCAATATGAATGCCTTATTTTATGTACTTAATGAGTAAATTATTTATTTAGTTTGCACTGTTATCAATCTTAAATTTCACAGAACATACAACTGAATGTCTTGATAAGACTAAATATTGTATTTATTAGAAGAAATATGGTGGAGACTTGGGTTTCTTTTCTCCAATTCTGTGTGTTTTTGTTTGTTTGTTTGTTTGTTTCATAAAAAGGAGGGCACTGTTATTGCAATCTCTAAGGGAAATGTATGAGATAAATTATTTTAGTTTCTTTCATCCTTTATTCTTCAAGGCAAAGGGGAGTAACATTTCTCACTGGCAAAAAAGTGAACGAACTGTGCCAGCATAGACTCTTTTTTTGTTTTTTGTTTTTCCCCCCCCGAGTGAGTTCTGTTTTCAGGATACATTTATTCTCTGAGTCCTGGGGTAGGCTCTGCCCCTGGGAAGGAAAGGAGGATGTCACCATAGTTGTGCCTCAGAATAATGAACAAGTCTGACTTAGAAGAGTTAAGGTTTCACTTATAGCCACTATTCCAAGCAAATATTTTTACCACTATGTCTTCATGTCTTGTCTCTTATTTCCCAACTCTCCTAAAAGCTCTAGAGGCCCAACAAAGCTCAGTGGTTGAGCTTCGACCTATGAATCAGGCCGTCACAGTTAGCTTGCCAGTCAGGGCACATGCCCACCTTGCAGGCTTGTTATCTAGTATAGGATGTGCAAAAGGCAGCCAACCAATGATTCTCTCTCATTATTCATTATTTTATCTCTCTCTCTCTCTACCTTCCTCTATATAATATATATATATATATATATATATATATATATATATATATATATATAGTTTTTTTTAAAAAACAGTCTAGAGGAAGAGTCAGGTCTGCTTATTTACCTTAAAGCCCTAACATTAAGTGAACATTGATCCAGTAGCTCTATGGTCGATAGAAACACATATTATATATGTTAGTGTGCCTTATTAGTCTTGAAAGCTTTCTGTGCTAATTTTCCTAACCTGAAAGAAATATAGATGAACTTTTGGTCTTTGTTTTAAGGCCTTAGTCCCAGAGTGGTCCTCTTCTGCCATGTTCTACAATAAAATATGTAAGAGCTTGTTTCATAAAATCTTATTGAAAGGCTGAGTCAAGAAGATAAGTTCATTAGCTAACCAATGCTACCTTCCCAGTTTTTAACTTGGGATTTCACTTTGATGAAATGTGTATGAAACTTGACTAGAAAGTGAACCAGTTTTCTCCATTAATTTCCCTAGATAATGTTTTCATAAATTATTAAGGGAATTTTACTATCACTTGGAACCATATTTTCAGAACAATGGTATTAAACCTCTAACATATCTTTCTTGACTTCTAATTAAAAGTTAAGTTTTATCAACATCTCTTTATCCAACAATTAGTGTAGGAATCGTCACTTTGGATGTTGACCAAGAATTAGCACACTCCAATGAGGAATTCAGAACGTTTATTGCAAGAGCTGAATAATTGTAAATAACGTAGAACTGGCAAAGCAGTAACAAGGATAATTGTTTAGATATTTATTCTGTCAAAGTCATCAAACACCCCTCACAAACCGACGAAAATGTACTGCAATAAGCAATGCACCCCTACCCATTATTTTCCATTATACTGTGAAAAAATGTGAATTGCTATTTACAAAGTAATTTTATTTTTGGTAACAAATTAACTATCAGATTAGCAAACCTTTTTTTATTTTGTTTTATTTTATTTTTTCACTTTTAAACTGATGTTGAACCGTGGCATTAAGATAACTTTCACTTCTTTCAATAAAGACAATTTGTTGCATGCTATTTATTTGTTTAAATCATCTGTCATGCCTTAACAAAAACCTCCTAAGAATGTTCAAATTTGGGTTTGTTTGCACGTGCAACTGAGATCTTATTAACATTACTGATAGTTGTCACTCTGTTGGTTTGACTTAAGTGACGAGATGCTGGTACCTGCCAGGCATTGACCAATTATGATAACAAACAGTTAAACAGCAATAATTAGAGATTTATCCCTTTATTTCCCCCAACTAGCCTACCTGAAGAATGTTCTGTTACATCATGAAGGCACAACACATTAAATATTTTGTGGCTATGGTCTAACACTTGTGTTACAACAACATTATTGTATATGAGGATCAACACAAACTCTGCCATTTCAACAAACTTGTAGACACACATTTGCCCAATTTAAACTATTTTAAATAGTATTTTTTAATATATGCTAATTTTGATATATTAGTTTTTAATGAGTGACAAGTACAGGATATTATATCACTTTCTGAACAATAACTCTTTCACTTAATACTACTAATTAAGTGACTTGGTTTTGCCTACTTTGAAAATAAGAATGTAAAGAAAATAGGTTCTGAATTTTCAAGCTTTTACAGAAATCATTTTTTATATAAAGTTTTTACTTTGGAGCTTTATGTTATACATAAATCTTGGCATTATAAGCTATCATAAAAGAAGCAAGATTCCAGAACCTTTTTCAAAAAGCAAGTGTTTGAGATCCTCGGAACAATGTGTGTCAAGGCAGACTACTAACGCAGAAACACCTCACCTAAAAGAAACAACAAAATAATGACAGAGGCAAATGAAAGAAAAAAAATAAAAAGAAAAAAATAAAAAGGAAAGAAGCAACTATAAAACACAGAATTATGCTACACATTTTTTTAGGTGAACATTATAAGTACACAAAAGTTGTTAATAATAACTTGCTTCTATTTACAAATACTTTAACACTGACTTACAAGTGTCCACTAACGTTGTTAACAGCACAATAGGTTTAATGCTTATCTTTTTTAAGTTTTATTTGAAGTATAATGTCAAGTATAGCAGTCCCAGCACAAATCAATGACAAAAAGAGCACAATTCTCTAACTGGATATATTTGTCAGTCATTCTAATCCATGGAACTTTCTTACTCTCCAAATGCACATTCTATTGTTCATAGCAGCAGTCCAGGGTCAAAATAAAATGCAATGAAAGAAAAACAGAATATTTGCACAATGGAGAGATCTCTGGAGAGTTTAACCAATTCTAGTAAACAAGATCACATGGCTAATAGAACTACCTCCTCTCTTATGCTGTAAAACATTGTATCCTCCATGGTGCTAACACAAAGTTATGAATATCCCTGCTACAAGGGGCATAGTTGTAGAGATCTATTGAATACATAAAGCTCTGACACACACAGTATTAGCATGTCTATTTAGATTAAAGTTATTAGGTCCCATACAGCCTTTTTTAATTTTTTAATTTATTTTATTTTGTTTTATTTTTTAGAGTTGGTGTTCCTTCGGACTCTCCATAGCACCTCCTTGTTGCTTATAAGACTTCAGGTTGGCCAGAGGAATGTCTGTCATGTGGCTGCCATTGTTGAAATGGCCTTCATTGGAGCCAAACTGCTTCCGGTCATTGAACTGGTTCCTGTTGCTGTCTTCTTTCCAGGCTCTGGTAAGGGTGTGCCCATTCACAAGCTTGTCCTTCTTGACCCATTCTTTCTGGGGTGCAAAAGTTGAGAGAGGAGACTTGGGGTGTTGATATGGACCTAAGCCAGGAGGCATCCAGCAATTATCAGAGTGACCCAAAACCAAGCACTCCTGAGTGCACATCTCTGTAGCTTCAGCTAATCCTCGGGGGCCCAGAGGCCCATCTGCAGAGGACAAGAGACAGAAAAAATAAGAGAAGAAAAGCGTTAGAATTTTTCATTTAAAATTACCGACTAGAGAAAACGTGCATTGGTGATCTCATTTCTCACGAAAAGTATATTAAGTTAAACAATTCAAGTATTTTTTTTTTGTCTCCATTGATTTAAGAATAATATAGAAGGAATCAAGTTTCTTGTTACTGAAGCAAGAATTATCTTTTTCTTCATTAAGCCTTTGTTTATATCCAGGAAAAAAAAAAAAGACAGAAACATAGGTAATAGACACATAGGTACACAGACAGATATGGGCAAATAGATACACCCATGTTTATGGTAAATTGGAACATGGGCCCCTTTTTCTGCTCCAATTCCCCTTCCTACTCGGTGGAAATATAGGGGAGGCCATCTTAAGTGGACTGTGAGACTTTGGGAACCTGGCCAGCAACATGATCTCAGAAAGGCCACAGAGAAACCGTGAGCCTGGATTGTAAACAGCTAATGTCTTGATTTTACACAATTTGCACACATGCACATACCCCTCCCTATGCTTTCCATGTGTTTCTCTGTTTTCTGTACGCTATAAAACTTTGTCTTGGGGAAGTCTGGGTCAAAGTAACGGTAAAACAATAGCACTGGTGGGCTGCCCAGATGGGACTGAGTGGGGCATGCCCGCTGCACTGGTGGCAGTATGTGCTGCGGTGAACTTCATGGGTCAGCCATCCATGGTGCACACACAAGTCTTAATATCCCTATGTCTTTCACAGCCAGTCTCCGAGTTAATTTCTTTGGAATTCACAAACAATACTGAGGTTTTCTGGGACCTCAGCACTTTGCATAACACCTTGATATATGATTTCTGATCAAGTCTTTATGTGTCATATGCATTATTATAGATTTATTTCCTAATTCTTAACATGAAGCTCATAGGTTTGATAGATTATGAAAAATAAAAATTTGTATGTGCAATATTAGAGAATATGTAAGTAGTATAACTTCATGAAAACAAAACGAAAAGGCACTACTTAAACGTGTTATTAAAAATACTCCAAATAAATAAGTAAATACTCTAAATGGCTAGATATAATGTTTTTTCATGTGAATATTTGTTTTTATATATGAAATCACATGAAAATAATTTTTCAAATATTTTTAAAAATTCAATGATTATCTTAAAGAATACTTCCACTATAGTTATTGCTAAAGGCACACCTGGTCAATGAAAGCATTCTGAAATTCAAATAAAGAAGTCATTTGATTCTGAAGCCAGCATTTGCTTCCTTCTGAGTTAACCTATTTTCAAGATTTGTAATGTACAAAACTATAGCTAAGTTGCAAATTGTATCACATAGAGTCTAATATTCAGGGTTATCGTAGATATTTTTTTTTCTAGCAGGCAATCTAGAACAGACATTTTGACCGTGATTTCAAAAGTAAACTCTTCTGTGATTGTGCAATTTTATCACCCCATTTAATGAATAACAGCCAGATAGTTAAGAAAAACACTGTATTTTTGTTGTTGTTGTTTTTTCTCCCTTGATTAAACAGTCAAGTGATAAGTGATAGCTTGGAAATTAGGAATTGATTTTATGAATGAGGTTAAGTGAATAGGTAAGAATGCCTGAGGCATAAGGCAATTTAAAAAGCAGAGTCATCAGAATAAAAATGTAGAAGAAAATGTAGACTACAAACCAGCAAGGTTGCCTAATGAACAATTAAAATAACTGAAGAATTGAAGTGTAGATTTTTGCTAAAATCCATGTTAGCACTACTACTGTTTTTAAGTGCCCTATAATCGTAGGCTTTTATTATATTATCACCTACTTGTTTTAATAATATTTAGTTCTTTCTTGCATGTTAAATGACACCTACTGAGTTAGGCAATAGTTCATAGCAAATACCTGAGATCACAAAATACAGGGGACATCAGAATGGATACTGGATGTGAAAAAAGAAAAACTGGCTAAAATGTACTTGCCTATACACTCAAAATTTAGTCATTTTTCAAATCTAAAATATGCTCTGTAGAACAATCTTAACATTCCTTCCCATCTGACTGGTATTACCATTCCCTCAAAAGCAAACAGTTTTATTTTGTTTAAAGACATGCTTATTTCTCTCATAAATCTCCAATGATTCCTTAGTTCCTGGGACATCTAATTGAAACTTCTCTGTGAGCCTTTCTTTGACCTCTGAATTCTGCCCACATTTTAAAAGTTTGATCCAATTTCTCCCTTTTTGTTTTTGTGTGTTCAGTGACTATCCAACAGAGCTAACAGAGTTTCCCCAACCAATCCACCTTCCCCACAATAGGATCACAGGCTTAGAAGATGCTTTTCACCTGGCCTGTTTTCATTTAATTACTTACACTTTCAAGGGTTAACTTGTTTCCCACATACCACACAAGCTTCCAAACTCTACCAATTCTTGTCTCATCTGTACCTGGAGGATTTCCACAGATCTTCCCTCATTGATGAATAACAAATTTCCTATGAGCTCCTTCAGCTCTTAGCTTAATGGCACTTCCTCTTTTAGGGAAGGGAGGTCCTGTACGAATACCTGTTTTTATTTTTTTCTTTCCTGACTGAATTTAAAATCCATTAATGGAAAAAAAAATGACTTATCAGTCTTCTGATTCCTCATAGTCCTAAGAAATAATAATGGTCTATGAATAATGTTGTCAATTAAAATCTTATGAGATTGAGAATGTACTGAAAAATTATTACAGATATTGTCCCCTTAAAAAGGAGATCTTATATAATTATAATAGATGCTGATTTCACAAATATCAAACCAACAGCTTCTTTAACAACAAATCTCTGCCTAGCAATACTTTGTGACATTAATAAAATATTTAACTTTTCTGTTAAATATATTTACTTCTTTCTAGACATCAATGGAGATAACATAATCATCAATTTGATGTGCAACATGTATGAGGCCAAATCTTAATCTTTACTTTTCTAGATCCCTAATAAGTATGAATTTTCTTGTTAATATCTGTAAAGGGAGGAAAAATAACTTTTCAGCTGATAGAATCAAATTTTAACTGAGTTCATAAAAAAGACAGGATAGGAAATATGCAAAATTATTTTTAATATAGCCTTATCCAACATGCATTGCCATTGCCCTCTTATTAAGTTATGAAATATTACCCAATAATTGAGAATAATGTTTGTACCCTTATAAGTACATGTGGAGTACATTGTACATAATTTAACAAAGTTTATATGTTTATTTTTTATTTTTAGAACATAACCTTTATTTATTCTATGAATATTTACTGAGCATGTACTATATCTGACACTGTGACAGGCATCAGATATATAACAGTGAACAAAACAGATGTCAACACTATCCTCATGGAGCTTTAGGGCTATCCTGGGAAACAATACTTGCTTTAAAGTAGTGAACTGAAAGGGGAGAAAAGGGTGTCATTGAGAAGAAATGGGAAGCAGTTATCGGATTTAGGGAGGCATGTCCCTATGCCAGGTAACAGATGGTCTTTGTTTGTTCCAAGCTACTTCATGTCTACTATTTTCTAAAAGTTCTTATAGACAATTGACAATTTAAAACATGAGTGGTTAAAATTTCTGTGTACTATTCAAAATCACCGACTTGCAAAAATTGAGCTTCTGTCCATTAAATAATATTAATTGCTCTTTGAAAATTGAACTTATTATGATACATTTATGAAAAAAAATTTGGGTACTTTTGATAAAGTCTATAAATAAGTTTCTAAAAGTGTGGTAGATTCTTAGGTAAGTTTTTTAGGTCCCCGATTGTTATATAAGATTTAAATGCCCATTAAAGGGCAGGCAGGACAAAAGGACACTCAGATGAAAGCCAGAAGTCTTAGAGTTCCAGAGGAGGAAAAAAACCCAGGCCATGCTCCACAGGGGGCTGTACCAGGAAAGCACAGCAGCAAGGTGGACTTGTATGGTCAGCTTCCGCATGACAAATAGGGTTGGGTTCGCTAGGTTCCTAGGGCTCTCTGTGAATTGACTAATTTTAGTAATTTCTCAGACTGTAGCGCATAAGGGCTGTCCTAAGTCATCTGGTACCTGACCTCTGGACAATCATGGTGATTGCATAGGGACCTAGGAATTTGAGAGCTTTGGACAAGAGTTGGTGAGGTATGGACTTACTCAAGTAAGAAAACTGACCAACCTCTTGCCAGGGCCTCAGACCTGGGACACAGTGTATCTTTTGAAAAAGTTTTTTAAAAAAGGGAGTGGACTGACAATTCTCAGGGGGGAAGGAGGTCTGAGGGGTGAGGGAAGAGATTGGAAAAAAATCTTACACCTAAGGATGAGGACAGTGGTAGGAGGTAAGGGCAGGGGCGGGGTGGGAATCAGGTGGAGGGGAGCTATGGGGAGAAAAAGAGGAACACCTGCAATAATCTGAACAATAAAGATTTATTATATATTAAAAAGTTTAAAAGTTTAAAATCAATAAGCTAATTGGTTATGTCCTTGAAAATGTGAGTTGTGTTATTGAAAAATATACTCTTTATATGCTTTGGTAAATTTTTATTTTGGGACAACATTAAACAAAAAAGTTTTTTTATTTTGTTTTGTGTGTGTGTGTGTGTGTGTGTGTGTGTGTGTGTGTTTTAATTTGAGCCTACATATCACTACTAGTAGTTGCATAATATTAAAATTTAAAATAATAAGTTTTATTTAGGGAAGTAATAATACTAGCAAGTTGTCTTCTATAATGTTTGTTTGTGAATTAGTAGAAAGAAAGAAAAATACTATTTTTTGGTGATGAATTGTTAAAAAGAGCATAGTCATTCCACTGGTTCCCTTAAATAGTCCCTATCCTTTAAAGTTTATCATCTGAAACATACTTAACACTGAATAGTTTCCAATTTGTTTCTCTCATTATTAGAACCAATAAATGAAAATTTTAAGTATTTTTTATTAGGTATTTTTTAAAGGAGAAAAATATTCTTTTAAAAGCATTGGTATTGAGGTCTGGCTAGTGTTTCTGAGTGGTTTGACCAT